ACCCCCTTAGTTTGTGCATCAATATTGGCACTTCTCTCGACCAATTCATCCATAACTTATTGCCTTAAGAAACACACGAAGTGGAGTCACACCCAGTGACTTCAAGCTCACTTCAGTCACAAAACAACGCAATCAATCAGAACAAGATCAGAATGTAAAGCTACATTTAGAGCTACATGAGACTAACTTCAAAGAATATATATTTCTTAACAGTACATACAAAAATCTCTCTTCTGGTAGAAGATTCCTTATTGAATTCAATATGGAATAAAACAAAGGTCAGTGCAGAATGTAATGAAAATTGATAGTTTAATAGGATAAATAATTTAAAAAGAATAAAATAAATAGTTCATTGTTGTAATTCTGACCCCATGAATCAAAGCAACAAACACAAACAACTAAAGCTAATAGGATAGCCAAAAATCTACTGTCCTTGGACCTTGGTGAATTAAGGGGAAAAAAAGGAAAAAAATGATAATTCTCTAACTGATTTCCTTGAGAGACGAAATAGAGCATGGGAAAATATCCAAAATAATTTACTACTTCAAGAGAAAATTAAATCAGTGATATCTTTCCAAGTTAAAGTTGATTATTTTATCAGAAAAAATAGAAATATTAACATAAGATAATGGTAAATGCCATTTAAGTTCATCTTCTAAATTAAAGAACATTAGCATAATACATAATCAGACGTGCAATTGGATTAAAAAAAAAATTATTTCTTAATCAGATGAAAAAGTTATAAGAGTGTGTGTGATCAAAATGAAAAAGAAAATTAGAATCACTATGTGTAATTCACTATTGTATACAACCATGATCAAAAGTCAGAATAGGGAACTATATAGTTATTAAGTTTATAGTCCTGAACTTTATATCAATTTCTTAACATCGACTATTTGCTCTTTGCAGAAAGATGTTGATAACACAATCACTTGTTGTATAGCAACCTTACATAAGGAAAATAAGCGAAACAAGCCACAATCACCAAGATAAGATCCAGAAAGAATATTAAGAACCTTACATCAAAAAAAAGTAGCCAAAATAGCATAAGATCAGAGACGGATTTAGCAAGAAAAGCGAGAATTGTATATCTTACCCCTCAAATACGAGTCACCTACGAATCACTATCAAATGACTTCTCCATTATAGGCCTTTCCAGTTTCTGTTGGGCTATCAGAATATTTGGCCTCAAGCCCAATAAGGCAATCTTAGTGTTTTGGCCAGATATTATTTTATTGTACATAGCCATTAATTAATTAGTTAGTTAGGCTTCTTTTGTAAGGAGTACTTCTTTTGCAAAGGTCACACAATATAAATAGAAAATGGCTGAAAGGCTAATCAGATTTTCATGCCACAAATTCACTCTTTCTTATTGTCTCTCTTCTCGAACACTCTACAGAACCCTAATCAGATTCTTTCCAAAATATCGTTCGATTCAAGATGTTCACATGGTATCAGAGCACGGATCCTGATTGATCTCGTCATGCTGAATCGAACGATGGTACCCTCGTTCATTTTAGAGAAGAAAAATTCAGAATCGTTTTTTTCTCTCGCAAAGTATTTTCTTCGATTTTCTTCGAATTCTCTGCAATTTCAGCTTATATCTTCAATATCTCGGTTGATTTGAAGTTTTCTCTTGGTTTCGAGTTGGCGATTGTCGTTATTGAAGCTAGGGTTCTCGTATTCGTTTGAAGCTAGGGTTCGATGTCACTGTCGAAGTTAGGGTTTTCGATTTCCGGCTTTCAAATCCTGGTTTTTCTAGAGACTCTCGTGATTATCAAGGTCGTACTCTTTTTGGTTGCAAAAGAGGCTGGTAATATCGTTTCTTCTCAAAATTTTGTGTTTTATACTAGAGTCGTTGTATTCCTCGAACTCAGAGGGTTGTTGTGATATTTTGTGTTTGGTGTATTTTGGATTGTGAACAATGGGTAGTACTGATGAAACCAGTAATGTTACTGCTATTGATTCCTCCAGTCGCATATTCCTCCATCCTTCTAATATCCCTAGGATTTTCTTAGTCCACACACCTTTCTCTGGTACTGGTTTTGGTGGGTGGAAAAGGAGTATAATTGTATTTTTGTTTGCTAAGAATAAAATTGATTTCGTAGATGGTACTTGCCCCAAACCTGCTGAAAATTCTCCACACATTAAACAATGGAATAGATGTAATAATATGGTCATCTCTTGGTTGACCAGTTCACTTTCTTCAGAAATTGCTGAGAGTGTTCAATATTCAGAAATTGCTGAAAGTATTTGGGAACAATTAAATAAAAGATATGGGACAGTTAATGAGACAAAAAATTTTGAAATAAAGAAAGAACTTGCTTCCACTATGTAAGGGGCTCTTGACATAGCTTCCTATTTCAACAAACTTAAGAAATTATGGGATGAATTGAGGATAATGCGTAGTAATAAGGTAAATGCGTGTGCATGCCCTATTAGAGCAGAACTTCTGAAAGAAGAAGAAGAGGATAGAGTTCACCAATTTCTAATGGGTCTAAATGAGATATATGTTAAGGTTAGGAGTAATATTTTGATGATGCAACCACTTCCATCACTTGATAACACTTATAACATCCTTTTACAAGATGGAAAAAAAAAGGCAAGTAAATCCTGGTCCAAATTTCAGTTCTGAATCTGCATCCTTTAATATGTCTGGCCTCAACAACAAGGCATCTTTTGTCAGCCTCAAAGATAGTATACTCAAAGGGTTAATTTTTACCAGAGTAAAGGTAACTTGAGTAATCTTTTTTGCAAATATTGCAAGAAGCCTGGACACTTAATTGATAAGTGTTACAAGCTTCATGGATTTCCTCCTAATTTCAAGTTTACCAAAGGCAAAAGAATTGCAGCCAATGTGACTACAGAATGTGAATTCTCCAATGATTCCAACCCAAATTCATCTTGCCACACTCCTAATGTCAGTTATTGTGGCTTCTGAGGGTCAAAAGTCTGCAGTGCCTGATCTAACACAACAGCAGTACACTCAGTTGATAAATCTTCTTCAGCAATCTCAACTATCTGATTCAATTCATCCACCTCATCTCATGGCATCTTCCAATTTTACTGGTATATTGTTGTCTGATCCTATAGTGTCTGGTTCTAGTTCTTGTATACTGATAAAAACTACCAATTCTACAAACTCTAAAAAATTAATCTGGATAATTGATTCTGGTGCTATTGATCACATGACCTCCAATAAAGATGTCCTTTTCAATATAATTCCCTTAACTATTCCTTATCTAGTCTCTCTTCCAAATGGCTATAAAGCCAAGGTCACAAGTACAGGATCCTACTCATTGAATGAATCTATCACCTTACACAATGTCCTTTATGTCCCTTCTTTTCATCATAATTTAATATCTGTGAATAGACTGGTACAATAATTGTATTGTATAGTTATGTTCACTTATATTGGATGTTTTATCCAGGGCCATTTTCTGAAGAAGCCTCTGGAGCTTGGTAGAGTGGATGATGGACTCTACAAGTCAGAGTTACCTTTGACATCTCTTCCACACAATTCTGTTGCTGAAAATTTTAATTCTTACAGCTTATATTTTGATGTTTCCCCCACTTCTGTAATTACTTTCATTTCCACTTGTAATAAAGCTACACAAGATAATATGGACATTGTTTGGCATCAAAGACTTGCACATGTTCCTTTTGTGAGAATGAAGACTATTTCTGTTATCTCTGTTTCTTCTAAACAATATTTTCCTTGTAATGTATGTCCTATGGCTAGACAAACTAGGTTGCACTTCCCTGACAGCAGCACTCAGACCAATAAACCTTTCCAACTTATTCACGTTGATATTTGGGGTCCTTATCACACCTCTACTTACTCTGGCTCTAGATACTTTTTAACAATTATGGATGATTTTAGCAGATCTACTTAGACTCACTTATTGGGGTCTAAAAGTAATGCCTTCTCTCTTCTCAAAGCCTTTGTTCTCATGGTCAAAACTCAATTTAATGTGAATGTTCAAACCATTAGAAGTGACAATGCCTTGGAACTTGGTTTCAGTCACATAGCCATTTCCTTCTTTTCTGATAATGGCATCATTCATCAAACCAGCTGCCCTCACACACCACAACAAAATGGTGTGGTGGAGAGGAAGCATAGAACTTTACTTGAAGCATCTAGAGCACTTATCTTTCAGTCCAAACTACCCCTTAGATTCTGGGGTGATTGCTTATTAACAACCACTTACATCATCAATAGACTTCCTTCTAAATTGCTCAACAACAAATCACCATTTGAAATATTATATGGGAAAGTCCCACATTATTCTCACCTAAGATCTTTTGGTTGCTTGTGTTATGCAACTGTACCAATTCCTCAAAGAGATAAACTCCAACCAAGGGCCATGAGATATGTGTTTCTGAGATACATCTTTGCAAAAAAGGGATACAAGTTATATTGTTTAGATACTCACAAATTTTTCATTTCTAGAGATGTTGTCTTTCATGAGCATGTGTTTCCTTTTGATAAATCTTCTTCTTCTCCATCTCCTCCTACACAGTCCCACTCTCTTCCTCAGAGTGTGGTGATGAATCTCCCTCCTGACACTATTACTTTTGTACATTCTCAGCCACCTAATCATGTTATATCCACGGCAGATATGTCTGTCAACGGCACCTCTCCATTCTCTCCTGTCAGTAGTTCCTCTCCTGTATCACCCTCAATCACTCCTACTATTCCCAATTCTGACTCTCCACCTACAACTTCTGCTCCTTTGTATTCTCCACCTAATTCTTCTGTTGTTTCCAATCATGTTTCCTCTATTCAACTCCCAGCTTTCAATCCTGACATTCTTTCTGTCACAGTAACTAATATCCCTCCATTAAAGAGATCTGACAGACCACATCATATTCCCTCTTATTTATAGGATTATCATTGTCAACTACCTGCATCTTTTTCTTGTTCTTCGGCTCAGCCTATTGAATCTGAACCATACACTTATGCTCAGGCAACTCCTATTCCAGCCTGGTAAGAGGCAATGAGAAAGGAGTTTGAGGCACTATATGCCAATAAGACTTGGGATATTGTTGAACTTCCTACTAGAAAGAAACACATTGGGTGCAAGTGGGTCTATAAAATAAAATATAGAGCAGATGGGAGTGTAGAAAGGTATAAAGCAAGCCTTATAGTTGTTGCTGTCAAGCAGGGTTGGTCTATGTTTCAACTTGATGTAAATAATGCTTTTTTTCATGGTGATTTACATGAAGAGGTTTATATGAAGCTTCCTCAAGGTCTTTCCATTCCTTCATCTTCCACATCTGCCCCCTTAGTTTGCAATCTAAAGAAATCCCTCTATGGCTTGAGGCAAGCTTCTAAACAATAGTATGCAAAGTTGTCTCAAGCTTTATGTTCAAGAGGATACACTTATTCCTTAAATGATTATTCCTTCTTTGTAAAAGGGTCTTCTGGTAACATTGTGATCCTTGCTGTGTATGTAGATGATATCATCTTAACAGGGAACAATCTTGTTAAGATTTCTGCTTTGAAGGAATTTCTGGACAATGAGTTTAAAATAAAAGATTTGGGTCTGTTACACTATTTCTTGGGCATTGAAGTAAATGCTTCTCCTACTGGTGTTTTCTTAAATCAAAGAAAGTTTGTCCTGGATTTACTTAAAGAATATAATTGTTTGGAGGTGACCCATGTTGTTTCTCCTTTAGATTTGAATTTCAAGTTGAAAGCTGATTCTGGGGAGTTGTTTGATCATCCTGAAAGGTACAAGAGTCTGATTGGTAAACTTCTCTTCTTGACTCATACTCGACCTGATCTCTCCTTTGGTGTGCAACATTTGAGTCAGTTTCTACAAGCTCCCTGGTTGCCTCATATGACTGATGCCCTCAACCTGTTGAGATACTTGAAAGGCACCATTGATGTTGGGCTATTCTACTCTAACTCGCCTGATTGTACTCTCACAACATATTCTGATAGTGATTGGGCAGCTTGCCCTGATACTCGCAAGTCTGTCTCTGGTTTTTGTGTCTTTTTGGGTGATTGTTTGGTCTCTTGGAAATCTAAGAAACAACCTATTGTTTCATTCTCCTCCGCTGAGGCAGAATATAGGGCACTCAGTAAATTGGTGGCTGAACTTACTTGGCTCACTAGGCTGCTTCTTGACCTTTTTGTTCATATTTCTTATCCTGTTTCTATTTTTTGTGACAATCAGGCTGTCATTCATATTGCTAAGAATCCGATGCTTCATAAGAGTACCAAGCATATCGAGGTGGATTGTCATTTTATACGGAAAAAGTTAGCAGATGGCTTGATTCAGTTGTTTCATGTCACCACCTCTAATCAGCTTGCCGACATCTTCACTAAGCCTCTTACTGGCATGCTTCATCAGTCCTTCTTGTCCAAGTTGAAGGTGTTCTCCCCCTCCAACTTGAAGGGGGGTGTTGGGCTATCAGAATATTTGGCCTTAGGCCCAATAAGGCAATCTTAGTGTTTTGGCCAGATATTATTTTATTATACATAGTCATTAGTTAATTAGTTAGTTAGGCTTCTTTTGTAATGAGTACTTCTTTTGTAAAGGTTGTCACGCCTTCTTTTTCTACCCCGGAAGGGGTATAAGTGAGTTTTTTCCAATTTAAGTGTCAATCGAAATAGGATTATTTTATTTAAAATTCAGAGTCGCCACTTGGGATAATTTATGGTGTCCCAAGTCACCGGTTTTAAATCCCGAATCGAGGAAAGATTGACTCTGTTTTATAGTCCACGAAATACAGAAATCCGGGTAAGGAATTCTGTTAATCTGTGAGAGGGTGTTAGGTATTCCCGGGTTCCGTGGTTTTAGCACGGTCGCTCAACTATTATTATTGGCCTATTTATCTGATTTTGAAACATTTTTTAAAACCTATGTGCATTTTATTCCTTTTAAACCACTTTTAATAATCCAATTGTTATACAACTATTTATTTGATTACACATTGCGGATCATGTCACATAAATCGTACCCACGATCTACAACATGTTTAATTTATTAACAAGATTAAATTATGGCCGGGTCACATAAATGTACCCCGGATTTTAGAATTGTGTACCACAACTACTTCACAGGAACCGTACCCATAGCTATGATAATTTTATTATAGCACGCCTAAAGCAAGCTACGAATGCTTATGAATATTATCGGCCTAAAACATGCTACTAGCAAATATAGGCAAGTAACAAAGCGATAGACAATTAAAGGCTCAATTTTATAAACTTTAGCACCCGAGCCTCTTTAATCTAATTTGACGTAGTTCAGTTGATGAATAGCAACCCAATTTCTATACTGTGACAAAATCATGTTCAGCTATAACCAATTCGAGTAAACACGAGCAGACAACTACGCAAGCAAATTCAAAACTATGGAGAACAATTATGCAAACAACGACATCATATTACCAAACAAACAATTAACACTAAGTTTGAATAAAACGAATAGAGGATGAAAGGATTCGACCTCAATATAGTCGTAAAATTGATTGTTTCACTATTTTAAACTCAAAATGTGACGAACTGCGGACGGAACCACGAGCCAACTCCGAACAGCTTACACCTCAATTAAAACAAATTCATAATTTTAGAAGACGAGCACTATATTCAGACAGAATCCAAATCAAACAAGTCTAAGCTCCAGGAATCTAAGGTTCTGCCTCAGCAACGGCCTCATCAGCTGGTCGATCCAACTTCACGCCAACATATGACTTCGCTTCTGCGAAATCCCCACTTCTTCAGACATTGAAGACCTTGCTCAAGCCCTACGCCATCACCAACTTCTCGATCTTGGAGTTCAGCCAACTCAACAAAAACCTTGGCAGCTGGATGCTCAACTTCTAACATCCTCAGAATTGCACCACCATCACTAGTAATTGTTACGTTTGTTCCCTTAAGCAACTCTGTAGCTTTAATAATGACTGAGGTTGTTCTATCACCAACTTCTCGATCTATTTGTCCATCTCGACAGTAACTTCTAAATCGAGCTGGTGACTGAAGAAGCAGTACTTCTCGTTGATGCTTTCCCACCGCTGTTAATTTTTGGATGGAGAAGAAATCCCTAGCTGATGTTCCTTAGGGTGTAGGTCTGTTCGTTTTTTGTTTTTTGTTTTTTGTTGTTTGAAGAAGATGAAGCTTAGGTCTTGTGTGCTTGGAGAAGATGAAGTTCAAAGGGAAGGGGGTCTGTCAAGTTCCAAAACGGCTCCTAATCCTCTTCAGGTCAAAAACGGCGGATAGATCCCTCAGTCTTTGCTGATTTAGTCTTAAGTCTAGGGGTCCTTTTATGCTTAGGGATTTTTAGGGTTTAAAAAGACTCCTGGGTCTAATGGATTTTTGGGCTTTAACATTGAAATTGGGTTTGGTCCATGTTTTATTGGGTTTTAATTTTGGGCTAAGAAGACTAAAATATAAAAATAAAAAACTTACTCTTAATTAATTAGAACACACTACTAAAATAAAACTAGATATTAAAAGTGAAACTATTTTTTGTATTTTCAAGATTATAAAAAGATAAAAATAAGGTACTATTTTTTGTATTTTTTTTTAATTTATGAAAGGTACATAAAATAAAATATTTTTTTTGTAATTTTATTTTTATGACGAAATAAAGTAAAAGAGTCAAAATTAGTTGAAATAACTATATTATACCTAAACTAAGTATTTAAATGCTAAAATATGTAAAATCTTGGGGATGGTCAAAAATCACATGTCTACAAAGGTCACACATATAAATAGAAAATGACTGAAAGGCTAATCAAATTTTCACGCCACAAATTCACTCTTTCTTATTGTCTCTCTTCTCGAACATTTTACAGAACCCTAATCAGATTCTTTCCAAAATATCGTTCGATTCAGGATGTTCACAGTTTCTTCTCTTGAAGTAAAAAAAAATCCGATGTGCAGCCGGAAATCTTCAATTGTTTGAACCATCTCTGATATGAAAGTTTAATTGAAGGTTCAAACCCCCGGTTTCAAATCCTATCCTAAAATCTCAAATTCTTGGATGAAATCATAGAGGATTCATTCGTACATCTTTCAGCACTATCTTTCCAAGCTTTCTGCAGTTCAGTAATCTTATACTATGCCAACAATACTTCATGGAACCACACTATTACTTTTAAGTATGTACTCTTTCATTCAACATTTCGGATGTTGTTGATTATGTTTTGAGATAAACCTTGATAGTGTCCTACTTTCATGAAAACATGTAGAAAACTAAAGATGGCAAAAGTCAAAGAAGCCAAAACAAACTTATGGATCCCATACCTTCTTTATGCCGCAAAATAAAAACGTGCAACATACATTAAAAATAATAGAGTTACATCTATAACTTACAACTTTGACTTCTTTAAATCTGGTTGAATCATTTCTTATTTCACTTTTGCAAATCTAACAACATTTGACCAAGTCACTTACTTTCATTTCAAAAGATATTGCTTTCTTTCAAATTTTCATGATAAAAGTAGAGGAGAGGGATTGTGTCCTTGTTCATATGGTATTTCACTTAATCACCCTTTTTCTTTATTGTTCATTTAATCCTCTTTCTACAAACCTGAAAAATAAGTAAGTGATGCCACTCTAGCTACCTAATTAGCTTTGTTTCAGAAAATAGTGGCAAGTATCCTCTAAATGCTATTACCTGGTTCATATACATGCATCAACCTTTAGGTTCATTCAATATGTGAAACTCTTAAACCTTTATGTGAAAGCATGAACAATAATTGTACATAAAATTGACTTCCGTTGATACTACTATAATTGGGTGATATTTGCTAGCCAGAATGCACATATAATGGGTTTAGGAATGTGAAAAAGAGATACAACAACAACAATAACATACCCAGTAAAATTTTACTAGTGGGGTCTGGGGAGAGTAGAGTATACGCAGACCTTACCCTTACCCCGAAAAGGGTAGAGAGAATGTTTTCGGGAGACTCTCGGCTCAATAGGAGAGACAATAATATCAAAAAAGAAACAAGAGAAAAGGCATAACAACAAAAGATGCCAAAAAGAAAAATAACAACAACGAATAAGTGAAAGGACAATAACACAAAACTATGCAAAACAACAATGTGAACACAACATAGACTGCTGACAAACCTAAACAAAACTCTATCAGACTACCAGGTACAAAGAGGGAGGAACTCTCGACTACCCTTATCCTATCACCCTAATGCTCGACCTCCATATGTTTCTATCAAGAGCCATGTCTTCAGAAATCTAAAGCCGCACCATGTCCTGCCTGATCACTTCGTCCCAATACTTCTTAGGTCGCCCTCTGCATCTTCTTGTACCTGCCAAAGTCAACCGCTCACACCTTCTAACCGGTGAATCTAGGCTTCTCCTCCGCATATGTCCAAACCATCTAAGCCGTGTTCCCGCATCTTGTCGTCCATAGGAGCCATGCCCACCCTCTCCCAAATATCTTCATTCTGAACATCCTCATTTCTGCTACTTTCATCTTCTAGAATTGTGAATTCTTGACTGGCCAACACTCAGCTCCATATAACATGGTCGATCTAACCACCGCTCTATAGAACTTACCTTTGAGTTTCGGTGGCACCTTCTTGTCATATAGGACTCCAGACATTAACCTCCATTTTATCCACCCTACTCTAACACGGTGCATAACATCCCCGTCGATCTCCCCATCCCCCTAGATAATTGACCCTAAGTACTTAAAACTTTCTCTCTTGAGGATGACCTGTGAGTCAAGCCTGACTTCTACATCCGCTTCCCCTATCATATCGCTGAACTTACATTCCACATATTTCGTCTTAGTCCTACTCAACTTGAAACCTTTAGACTCCAGAACATGCCTCCATATCTCCAGTCCCCTATTAACGCCACCTCGTATCTCATCAATCAGAACTATATCATCACCGAACAACATACACCATGGCACCTCTCCTTGGATATGGTGTGTTAGTGCGTCCATCGCCAGAGCAAATAAGAACGGGCTAAACGCAGATCCTTGGTGTAACCCCATAACCACTGGAAAAGGCTCTAAGTCACCTTCCACGGTCCTAACCCGAGTCATAGCTCCATCATACATATCCTTTATCGCCCTAATTTAAGCCACCGACACACCTTTCACCTCCAGACACCTCCAAAGGATGTCCTTAAGGACCTTGTCATATGCCTTCTCTAGGTCAATAAACACCATACGCAAATCCCTCTTCCTATCCCTGTATAGTTCCACCAACCTCCTGATAAGGTGGATAGCTTCCGTAGTAGAACGACCTGCCATGAACCCGAACTGGTTTTATGATATAGACATCGCCCTCCTTATCCTCTCTTCCACCACCCTCTCCCAAGCTTTCATGGTATGACTTAGTAACTTGATACCCCTATAGTTGTTACAATTCTGGATATCCCATTTGTTCTTGTACGCCGGAACCATTGTACTCCAACGCCACTCATCAGGCATCCTCTTTGTCCTGAAGATAACATTAAATAACCCAGTCAGTCACTTCAGGCCTGCTTTATCCGCATATCTCCAAAACTCTACTGGAATCTCGTCTGGTCCAGTCGTTTTGCCCCGACTCATCTTACTCATCACATCCATGACCTCCTCAATCTTAATACGCCTACAATACATAAAGTCTCGATGACTCTCGGAGTGACCCAATTGCCCTAACACGATGTTTTCATCCCTCTCTTCATTCAGAAGTTTATGAAAGTATGACTTCCATCTTTGCCTAATCTGGCCCTCTTCCATCATTACTCGACCGTCCTCGTCTTTGATGCACCTCACTTGATCTAGGTCGCGAGCCTTCTTCTCACTCGCTTTGGCTAACCGAAATAATTTCTTGTCTCCACCTTTATCCCCAAATTCCTCATAAAGCCGACCAAAAGCAGTAGTCTTAGTTTCTGTGACCGCTAATTTTGCCTCCTTCCTAGCCTCCTTATATGTTTCTCTGTTCGCTCTTATGTGATCCTTGTCGGTGCTCTCTACTAACTTAATGTAAGCCGCTTTCTTGGCTTCCATTTTACTTTGCACCACGTCATTCCACCAACAGTCGCCTCGGTGTCCGCCAGAGTAACCTTTCGAAACTCCCAACATCTCTCTTGCTGTCTCCCTTAGTAGTCTGTCGTCGTCCACATAGCTCTAGCATCCCCACCACTCTTCCAGGCACCCATATTCGTTAGTCGCCCCTCCAACTCCTGTGCATTATCCTTAGATAAAGCTCCCCACCTGTTCCTCAACTGACCCCGTATCAATTTAAATAGCTTATATTAATGAACAAGAACAATCAATACTAATTAAACAAATAGTTCACTAACAGAAAATAGCGACCCTAATTATGAACACACCTTTTGATAAGCAAGATGTCATTCTATGGAATAGACCAATAGACTTCTAAAGTACATTAAAAAATAACTTCAGGAGCTTCATTGAAAACTCTTTATATTTAGGCATGACATGTCATTGCTTCACCTTACCGAGGACATGACTCACGATATGAAGGTGTAGTCGAGGATTAAAGTGATAGGTTGACAGAAAGTTGTGAGTTTTTCTTAGATTTACCAGTAGTACTAGTACTATTCTTGTATTCTCTTATTCCTGGTTCTTTATTACTCCATATGGTCCACAATAAGTGACCAATTTGTTTTTTTATTTTGGTCCAAAATAAGTGTCCATTTATATAATCAAGACAAAATTTAATTTATTTTTTCAAAATCACCCTTATGTATGTATCCCTAAAAAGTCTTTTACTTCTCACATTAAATTATGATGTAACATTTAATTAAGGGTAGTTTAGTCACACTAACTATTTTTGTCTAGATTTTAGTATTTTCTTAATGGGTATGCCAAAAGCAAATTGGTCACTTATTGGACATGAGGGAGTACTTGTTATGTCATTCACTTCTATTACCATATTACATTACTGCTGCTATTGCTTGTTGCTTTATTTTTATTGTTCTTTATACCGAGGGTTTATCGGAAACAACCTTTCTGCCTTTATAGGGTAGGGGTAAGGTTGTGTACACACTAACCTCCCCAAAACCCACGTATGGAATTAAGTTGGGTTTGTTGTTATTGTTTTTGTTGTTGTTAATCTAGTGAGCTAATCCTTTAAAGATAAAACTTAACCCACTAAATTAACGGATAACAAAATTTAAAGAGTAACATAAAAAAGAAAAAATGGCATGTTATAACAACCTATTAAGAAAATTGGCATAAAAAAGCCCTAGTTTTAGATATTGGCACCCTATAGCCCTGCTTTAGATTTTTATTTGTTTTAATTGGTATAGCATAGCCAACTTTATCGTTATTCAAAATTAGAAATAACTTCAACACTTTCCCCTCTCTCCTCCCCTTTCTCCTTCTTTTACGCTTTTCTTCTGTATCTTCCCCAAATTTCAAAATTTTCAAATCCCCCAAATCTCTCCATTTTTATCTGCTTAATACTCTCTTTTGTGTCTTCTTAATGTTTTTCTTTACTATTTTTTTTTAAATCAAGTCCCTTTTGTAGAAATTGGAAGATAATATTCACATTCTTGCCAAGTTGACAGATGGATAAAAATTTAACTGGTAAGAAATCAAAATCTAAAGCAAATGTGGTCAAATCTTCATCTCTTCATGTTGCTTATGACTCTGATTTTGAAGAAACAGTGTTAAAGGGGTGCAAATCACCACATGCAATAGTCGTTCGAAAGGACAATCAAAGGGAAAAACGGGTTGAAGCATCACATACAAAAGACAAAAGGAAAAAAATCAAAAATGTGTCTGCTATGCAACAAAATATTGCTATTAAACCCAAAAAGAGAAAGCGCGTTAGCACGAAGGAAGTTCAATGTGATAAACTTCCTGTGAAGGTATTTTTAATCTCAATTGATTTAATGTATTTTATCCGATTTATAGTTTACATTAGCTATAAGCATTCATTATTTGTACTTGATGCTATGTAAAAGTGGTAATGGCTTTGAGCTAAATATTTGTCGTCTCCAACTCACTGCTTCTATGCTAAATATATGTGGTAAAAGAATGTTACTCATTCTTCGACTATGCTGTTATGTCAGCGTCACAGGGAGAAATCTGGGAGGAGCTAGTGTTGTAACATAGTAGTTATAGAGCATTGTTAAAAATAGCTTCTATTTGGGAACCGAGACAATAGACTGGTGTGGTAACACGAAATAAACAAGTAAATAAATAATTATTTGTCAAAAAAAAGTAGTCTGATTACTAACAAATAAATTCTAACTCAGTGCAGACACAGATTTGTGATTTCAATCTTTAGGATCCCGTACTTTATCTGATTTGAACCTTTTTTATTTAGTATTAGTATATTTTCTTTTATATTTAATTCTTTTAACATGCATCAGCTGTGAGATTGATGAAAATATGTAAAATTATTCTTCTGAAGATGTGTAGTTGAGGAAAATTTAATGATATTCACTGTTTGCATATATGGCTTAGTATAATTAATATTTTTTTAATGTAAAAATGGGATTTCTATGTCGCATTGGATACAAAATTATCCTGTTCTCATTGCAGCTCACATACCAATGTTGGGGTTGTTGATGAGTTAAAGTTGAAATTGACGGATGAGCAGATTCAAATGTTTAGGAAAACTTGTTTTGGCTATTTCCTCGATTTGTCTCCTGTTGTTGTACAGAATCAAGTTATACGGTTCTTAATGTCAAGGGAGTTAGTTCAAGATAGTGAGGATGAGTTTTACGTCAAGATCAATCATAGTACCCTGTGTTTTGGGATTAGAGAATTTGTAATTATATCTGGTCTAAGGTGTGTTGGTGAAGTCAATGATGAGGGAACTTATAGTGGATCAAATAGGCTCAAGGAAGCCTACTTTCCCGATCGTGATAGAGTATCAAAGGATGACCTTATAAATTGTTTTATGGAAAAAAGATGGCAGTCAGATAATGATGCTCTAAAGATTTCGTTATTGTACTTCATATACACCTTCTTATTTTTCACAATTAGTAAAAGATCCTTTGTAAGTAATCGAGATTTTTTTTTTGATGGAGAGTGGGGAATTCGAGCAGTTTCCATGGGGAAAAATTGTATTTGAAACTTTGATTGAATCTGTAAGAAATAAATTTAGATTTTTAAAGAAGTTTTGTAGGTTTGAGGGTTAACCACTTGCATTGCAAATTTGGATTTATGAGTGTTGTTTTGAAGTAGACCCTAATATTGCCACCCGTGTTGCAAGCCGAGTGACACGGATACTAAATTGGAATGTTATAGAAGGCCTAGGTTTGAGAAATTATGCAACGACATGTTGAGAGAATCAAGGAACAAGGTAACATTGTTAAATTCTTAAGTACTTTAAAGTTTTCTGTTATGTTAAAGTAATTGTTATATTTTTATAGTTCAACTAAAACAGAATGTTTCACATTTCTATGCATAATAATATTCTACTTATGATGCTTGATATACATGTACTTAGCATCATAAATTGTTGTCTTTTTGTTTATTGTAGTTGATGTTTACAAATATTTCGGCAACCGTGGATGAGTTAGGTGCATTATATTTGCCCATAAATGTTGAATATGCTGCACAAAAAGGTATTGTTTTTGAGGATGTTTGTCAATTTAGTGTCAATGAATCTGGTTACATAATGCCGCCTTTGAAAAGGAGCAACAAGCAGCAGCAACGAAATATAAATAGTAATGCCTCAAATGATCAAAGCTTTTTGGAGGAAAAATATAGTATAAGTGACTTTGAAAATGTATGTTTGTTTTCAAATTACATTTGTTGAAATACAGTGAATATTTTAGCAATAAATTTTTTTACTTTTGAACTCTGTTAAGCTGAGAAGGGAATATGAGTCTTTCAAAAAGTTTGTCATGGAGTCATTCGAGAAAGTGTTTAATGGTAATATACCCGCACATGATTACGATCAAACGTCCGATGAGAATGTTGAGAATGATTTTGAAAATGTAAAGAATTCTTTATATTTATTAGTTGTGAATCTTCATTCTTTTTTTTCTTATAAAAAGACCTTTTTATTATTTTGTGCTATTTGTGTTCAGCTTAGCAAAGATTTTTGTTTATTCAAGGAGTATGTGATGGATTCTTTTGCTAAATTATTTGATGAAAACAACAATCTTCATAACAGATTCTCTTAGAAGAGTGATGCAAAGGTATTCTAATCTAGAAAAGAACAATTTTATTTCAAAATTTAAAATTTCAACCATTTATATTGTTACGTATATAATTAATGAAATCATTATATTCACTAAATGTGTAACATAGTGATGGAATGGTTGACGGGCCAGGTAATGCAGACATCGGTTCTCCTAATAACAATCATGACCATGGTACTAATAATGTTATTCATGTGCATGCGACTACCCAAATGTATATAATAAGCCAAGTCAGCCAGGGAGATACCAATGTTCTTCATGGTATATTTGGAGTCATGTTTTATTTTCTTAATTATTATACATGTTTATACAATCAACAAGTAAACTTATTTTAATATCTTTTATGAATTTTTTAACTAGACCGGTTGGAAAGTGCGGCTGAATGTCAGAAAGATTTTCCTATGTTTGATGGTGGTGATTATCCGATTCCAAGCGAGTCTCAGATTGCTATAGTTGAACAAACTGCTATTCAAAAAGCCGTTGAGGTGGCAAATGACCCAATGCCAAAACAATCCACAAGAGTAAGACGTATTGGAAAATATGAGAAGTCTCCATATATGCCACTTGATTAAGAAGATTGCAGTTCTGCGGCACTAGTGCGTAAGTAATATTTTAACCTTAAGCATCCTTTTACCGTTGGCATCGGGGTTGAATCTGATCTTGCTTTGCGTTGGGCTTTTGAGCAATTTGTTGATGCGGGGACGTATAAGAAACCCAAGTAAGCTAATTTTTAATATTCAGCATAAATTATATTATTTTATTAATTTAATTTTTCTTTGATATTTAAGTTTTATATTTTATTTTTTAAGAGTGGGTGCGATCTACAAAAAGGGAAAGGATTTGATTGAGCCTTATGTCTCTGGAGATCATCATATTGTCAAGAAAGAATGGTTCCACACTTTGAATTACAGTGGTCGATCTTTGGACGACACGGTATGATTTTTGTACTCC